ATAAGGTATTGTTGAATATTTTCTGGCGCTAAAGCTCACATCCATCACATTTTAAACCTCAATGTTAACTATTATCACTGCCGAAGTTAGCCCAAGGCCATCTGTATATCGCGGTGTTTGTATTTCCGGCTCTTACATGAAAGGTATTGTGATGATTTAAATCGGCGGGAAATAGCGGGAATTGCGGGCATGGCAAAGAGCCACGGTGCAGTTGACGCTGATCAGATTAGTAATTTTGTTCCCCTCCATCTCAGATGATAGCTCCAGTCGATTTTCCTTTCGCCTGCATCCCTTTATTATTAGTCTAACAGCAATATTCGTCTACAGGCTTCCAAAGAATTGTGACAGAGAAAGACTGATAATATTTCACATTAAAACAACGTCAACTCAATCAGTTTTCAATTCGGGGTTGGAGCTCCTACGTCAGGGTCTGTTGGTCGCAGATCCCTTCTTTGTCGAACTTCCCCATTTTCTTTTCAACACTATAGATTGACCGAGTAACCTCGATCGGATCACCTCAATATCACTAATAAGCAACATTAGCTTCCAGAAGTCAAGATGGGCGAACGAACGTTTTCGATTTATTCATCATCAGGCGTGTACAATAATATAAAGGGGTTAGAATTAGTAAAGTTTAAGCAACCAGTCAACGGTATTTACTTAATCTAACCCCCTTTATATTATTGTACACGCCTGATGATGAATTAATCGAAAACGTTCTTTCGCCTATCTTGACTTCTTGAATGCTTAAATGGGTATCATCGCTGAACTTTAGCTTCGTCCACTCCCATTCTTATCCGTTTAAAGTATTAGTCTGGCTGGCATGCCGCAGTTTACTGTAATAATTAATATTTCCAAGGTGGAAACTATTGGTGGCTCCTATATGGTGGCCTCGGGTTTGCCAAAGCGCAACGGACGTAGACACGCCGGGGAAATTGCTTCCATGGCACTTGAGTTGCTCAGCATCAGTGGTACCTTCGTCATTCGTCATATGTCCACGGTTCCTCTGCTCCTGCGTATCGGCATACACACAGGTGAGCTTGTCGTTGAACTTTTCAAATTGTGCCTGCAATTGCATTAATGGTACGTGCACTTCCAGGAAACCCGGAACCTTCAAAAAACGAAGTCATGCAGGCGTATCTTTAAAAAATAATTCAGTGTGCGGCACATGTAATAAGCTTAGACTTTACCGGCCTCTGCGCCCTCATCCAATTTTTATTGTGATCGTAACGTTATGGAAGTGGGATAA